TTGTTTTCTGTATCCTTCTTTTGGGTTGTAAGACATACATATAGAACCAATACAACTTCAAAGTGCTATTCATCAAAAAAATTCCCATAAAAAACTTGGATCTCAACTAACATGTTAATTAGCTGGTGTTCTGTTTGTGCATTATTTATACTTCGTACCAGTTTCTTGCTTCAATAAATTTGTTACATTGAGCCATAATATACAGATGTCCTAACATTAATTGCTCTTTCCACACATAGGTGGATTAGGCGAGTCGATCAGGGCAGTGCGCCTGCCCCTTGCACCTAAGTTCGAGTCCCCATCCCGTAGATGATTAGATTAATTTAGAGTAATTTAAATTATCGCATGAATTAAAAATAAAAAAAAATTCTCTCAGGATTATCAAACACAATGACAATTCAAACCGATCAAGATCAATGGCAATATTAAAAGCAAATTCTTCAGGTCATGGGAAATACAAAACCCAATACACATTTTCATTTTCAAGAAAACTTTTAAGACGAGGAAATTAAAGAAAGAAAACTATGATTTCTTACCAGAGGAAATACGACTAGCAGAGATAGAGGAAATGAGAGAGAAGCAAGTGACAATGGCATCAAGACCGGCATACAAAATGCTTTTAGCATACTCTCCTTTCCATGGCTCTTTTGGTCTCTCACTCTTCTTGGTAATATAACCTCCATTACTATTGTTGCTAGTTTCTTCAGCTCCAATAATAATCTCCTCTCCTTCGACTAGCCTGCTATAAGCTGCATCAGCCATTTTGTTTTTTCGAACTCTTTTTGGGGCCAATTTTCTACTGTTTTACTGTTCCAAATACTTTTCACAGTTTATGCATCAGCTGGGTAAACAAAGATGAAGATGAAGATGAAGCCAGCCAAAGGAACCCAAAAAATAGAAGAAAGAGAGGGTGTGCCTGTGCGTTGTCGTTGTGCATGCAGTGCACGTGGCTTGCCACGTTGCCACCTGTATTACTTGATTGGTAGAGTGCCTCATCCAGTTCTAGGCCTCGTGGCTTTCTTGTCTGCCTCAAATAAATAAAAAACTGATTATCTGGTTTTAGAGAGTGCAAATTGGACTAAAATGGAGAGGTTTTTATTTTATTTTATTTTATTTATAAATATTTTTAATTCAGAAGGGCGATAACATGTTAAAGTTACATACAATACATTATATGGATGCTAGAACACAAACTAGGACCTCTCTTAGAAAACAATTGCTCCAAACCACTACGTAATAATGGGTATTAAAATTATTTCAATTATTTCTTCCTCTATATGTTTAAGACAAGTGAGTATTTGAATAATTCTAATTCCTTACTTCCCCACTTACATATATGAAATACAAAATTAAGGGAGTTCTATAGTAAATTCATAATCAAATATCGTTCAAACTAGGAATTAGATTAATTAGGAGAAGTACTTGATCTGATTCCAATTCCTCATTATCAAATTCTTAAGTTCCCTACTTCATGACTTCTCCCATTCAATCGTAAATGGTCTTAGATATTTGAAATTCTGAAATTATATAAATTAATATGTAATGCAAAATCTAAAAAGGCAAATAATTGAACTGGAACCATAAAATATATGATATTTTTATAAGTTGATTGAATCGTTAAAAAAAGAAGAAAATGAGTTTGATATTTTTATTTTCAACAAACGTTTCATTGGATTATAAAGAAAAATAAAATACTATTGAAGACACCGTCAGTAAGTATATTATTTCATCAAGTATAAATCCTCCAATCTATTAACTAACTAAATCATTGGTATGTCTCTCGCTATGAAGAAGTACTGTCTTCAGTCGTTGCTCCGATTGCTCCCAATTCAGCAGGCGGTGATGAGGGTGGCTTTTGAACAGGGGGAGGCTTAGGTGGCCTGTTTGGACCAACTTTATCAGCTACGTCTGGACGAATATCAAACTGCTACAGGCAGGTCGTGTATCTTCCCCACCAACTCCCGTGTTACCATACCACACAAAATAGGAACCTTACCAATTTTTTCAATTTCAACTGACTCTAGATCTTGAAATTCTCGAGGCACAGTACGTTGACCAGTTTTTCGTTTCAGCTTCGCATATAGTTTATCAACTCGTTTGTTAAAATGTACGAGTCGTACAATGTATGTTGTTCCTCGCTTTATGACAACATTCCCCTTATATTTCTTTTTTATAAACTGTCTTTCGAATCCCTTGTTCACTTTTGCATTAATGTCATGTGTATACTTGTAATCATTTGTGTCAAAGAGGAAGAACAATGAGTTGGAAAGATATCTAGCTAAGGCATCGTAATGATCATCAAAAAGCGCTTGCAGAATCGGTTGGTCATATACCTTCATAGCGTCTGTTTTTGTTATCTGAAACACACGCACATATCCACCGCTACATTCATCAAAAAGGGCTGCATATAATAAAGCCTTTATCAAATGCTGTAACAATTCATTTGAACTATGGACTTTCAGATTGCAACGATTCAGGTATTTCCAAACATATGGACCACCACTTCCACTTGCAAATCCCTTGCTAATCGAGGATTTGGATTCTCGCTTAAATTCATCACGACTAACTTCATATACATAAGGAACTTCATGCACATCCCAGCCACCCATAAGAGTAGACACCTTAATTCTATTCCCAGTTGATGTTTGCCCACGTATGTACTCTTTGGCTATTACTGGTGCACCATGAATGCCATTAACTATTTCCTCACGTTTGCTAAAGTAATCATTCACATGTTCTAACATTTGTCGACTATTATTGACTTTTCCCGCCCTAGTTGCAAATACATTGCAACTTTTCATATGCAAATATTTGTGTGACTCCTCTCCCAATATAAATCCTCTGTTCTCACTAGATGTAGTCCTCGAATCAACACAAATATATATTGCTCCACAACCTTCATTAGCGATAAAAGCGATGTTTGTTGTGCCACATCCCTCTTCCTGATAAAAATTTGAAATTTATTAGATAAAAATAGATAAGGAAAAAAAAAAGAGAATATGCCTCAACAAGTATATGTGTACAGGTGGATAGGATGTGCATGAAGAACAAATCCTTATGTATATGAAGTTAACAAAAAACAAAAAACTCACGAATAAGAGACCACAAAATCGAACAAGCCATGGTTCAAAGTTTAACCCCAATAATAGGTCCAAGTTTTGAAAGAAAAATTCAGGTTGAATGGCTATACAGACAAAATTCTATTGATGAGGAGGTCCAAGCTTTGCTTGAAGATTGATGGTATTAAGTTGATGGGCTGGGAAAGCGAAGGGATAGGAAATAATATATTTTATTAATTTTCTTATATGAGTTAACAGAGTAATGTTGGTTAACTAGATGGACAGATGACCAAAACATAGGTAGGGAACAGCGAGGGTACGTAGAATTTGGGTTTAAGATATATGGAAGCATAAGTACATATGATAAATTTAACTAAAACAAGTACGTATGATAGAAAAAAGAATAGTGGTAATGTCACAAACCTTCAACTCTTGGCTGGTTTTCTCCAAGTATGCATCAGCCATAATGCAAAACAAAAGTTCAACTGCTCTCCGATCACCAATTTGTTGTGAAACAGAAAGATAAGTTGTTTGTAAGTTTGAAAAAGTTCCACAGGCGAACGCCATCCTTTTATAAAAGTAGAGTTGTTCTTTTAGGAAGTAAAAGAATCACTAAAACTTTCCATGCTTGAACCTTAAGAAATCAATAGAAATCTTACTATTTTGTTAGTAAAAAAAGAAGTCAACAAAACAGGAAATTAATTTAAAATAATTTCCATTAGGAACCCTACATGCAAAATAAGGAAAAAAACTATAAGATGGGGAGACAAAAAAAAACATAGGTAACTTTTCTGATCAAATCTTGTACCAAACCCTTCCAAGACCCGTTCATTTTCGCAAGCAATTTCCAGCTAAAACTAAAAGAGAAGAAAGCTAAAAAATAAGAGCCTCGAGACCGAGCATTTTCTGGTGTAGCAAGGTTTGCCAGGATTTGTTCCTACTTGAGTTTTGCAAAATTGGTAAGAAACACTTGATTTTGCAGCAAGATAACCACATTAATTAACTTCCTTTATTGGGACACAAAATATTCCTGCCCTAGTTTTTAATGATAATTTATTATTTAATCAAGACTGAAAGGGTAAAAATAATATTTGGTTATTCAATCAACCGCCTATATTCCTGCTCTAGTACGAAACGCATTCTTTTTTTCTCTCACAATTCACCCTAAACTCAAACCTCCTGTTGTTTTTTCTCTAACAACCGCAAAGCCAAACACCAAGCCATGGACAACGTCTCATCTTTGGAGTGCCTGAAATTCGATTCCGAGTTGGAGGTGCTTGCTAAGGACGACGGCGTGAAGAACCTTTTCTCGCCAGCTATGATCTCCCTCAACTGCGGTATGTCAATAATTGGTATATATGCCTTTTATTTTAATTCAAGGGTGACCAAGACTATCTGCAATTCAATTATTTGTGCTTTAAATTTTATGCCTCGCCTTCTGTGTATGGAAAATTATACTTTTACCTTATGTTCTAGGCTCCTTTGTGCTCTTGATTTTTGTTTTTTGGGTTTGTGAGGAAGATTATATGAAATTTGTTTTTAGGGTTTGTGAGGAAGATTATCACCCATTTTTCTTTTCTTTTTTCCTTTTTTATTTAACAATGTAATTGTATGTGAGCAGGGAGTAAGCCTGAAGAATCAGAGACTGAAGAATCAGAGGATGAAGAATCAGAGGATGAAGAATCAGAAGATGAAGAATCAGAGAATGAAGAATCAAAGGATGAAGAAATTGGTATGCTTTTTAAATAGAAGTGATAGTCTAACAATTTTATTGGTAAGTGATAGCCTCCTCCCTCCTTCCTCTAATCTTCTTGGTAAGCTTTTGATTTTAGGGACAGAAATAAAATGCGCTTGCAACTTATTCTCTATTCATACATATTCATCTTTTTCTCTCTTATGACATGATATTTATGTATTTGTTTTGAACTTCTTTGACATCGTCACTTCTTTTTCTTTTTCTTTTTTGTATTAACACTATAATTGCATGGATACAGGGAGCAAGATTGAAGAACCAGAGTCTGAAGATTCAGAGGATGAAGAAATAACAAAGGAAAAACTTAGGAGTTTTATTGGTATGCTTTTGAATTCTCTTTTTTATTTTAAGGCTTTTTATCACAAATGGTCCTTTAGATTTACAAAATTATCACGAATCGTCCTTAAGGTTTTTTTGTGACACTAATAGTCCTTCAGGTTATCATCTACCCATCAAAATGGTCCTTCCAGTTAATTTCCGTCAAAACTAACGTTAAAAAATCACTGCCCATTCGACCAAACCCAACACTCAGAACTCTGTCCCTCCATTTCCTCCTGGGTCCTTCCATTTTGGCGCCCCAGTATATAACCATTCTTGAAAAGTAAATTCTAAAGAAATTGAAACAATACAAGCTCAACAGAAAGACCAACAATGGATAACTCCAGATAAAGACTAAATTCATGCTCATGGATCAATATGAAATGTAGAAGAAGTCCTGCAAATTCATTGTCGATGGCACATCAAATACTGAGTCCTCAATAGTTTTTTGAGTACTGATGTGATTCAATAGTTTTTCAACATCTAGTACGGAACAGAGGATGACTAAGACTTCATTTATAGCTGCAAATCTCAATGTGGCTGGCAATTTATTCACACCTAATTATGGTCCTTCAGTACCAAGCTAAGCTTTTGCAGAGAGTCTTAATCTTGTGGCTAATTGCTTGTAGTTCTCCTCATTCATTATGATTACCTGGGGGAAGAAAAACGTGTAAAAAGAAGAAGACAGTAGAGTAAGCTTAAGACATCAAATATACAGTTTGTTCATAGCTAGCTCAACTCTGTTTCTTTCTTTTTTTTCTTTTTCTTTGGTCTTCTTTTCCCCTTCTGCATTCCTATATAAACTATAAAGGCACACAATGCAACAATTAGAGCAAGCTCTTTGATTCTTTAGAGTGCCCTCAAATCCTCACACACTCCTTAGTTAAAAGAGCTTCACCCCCAGAATGGCAGCCCCTGATGCTTTCCTCTTGGCCTCTGTTTTTGGCGTTCTATGTACACCCTAGCTACTTAGTTCTTCTACCTCCTCTAACCAACAACACCCCCACCCCACCCCACCACCACCCCCCTCCTCTGTATTAATAATTGGGTTCCTTTTTCTTTTCAATTCTAAATTCTCTCTCTCTCTCTCTCTCTCTATCTCTCTCTCTCTCCACTGTAATCTCTCTCTCTCTCTGTCTCTTTCATGCACATATGGGATTTCATGTATCGTCTGTAATTGTTGTCTATCTTTTTGCTTGAGTTATTGTTTCAATTTCTTTAGAATTTACTTTTCAAGATTGGTTATATACTGGGGCACCAAAATGGAAGGACCCAGGAGGAAATGGAGGGACAGAGTTCTGAGGGTTGGGTTTGGTCGAATGGGCAGTGATTTTTTAACGTTAGTTTTGACGGAAATTAACTAGAAGGATCATTTTGATGGGTAGATGATAACCTGAAGGACTATTATTGTCACAAAAAAACTTGAAGGACGATTCGTGATAATTTTGTAAACCTGAAGGACCATTTGTGATAAAAAGCCTTATTTTAATACAAGTGATAGTCTAACCTATAAGCAGAGGTGAATTTCTCACACACACTACCAAGGTGTCATGGGGATTCGAACTTGAGGCCATTGCTATACAAGTCAAAGTCATTTTCCACTAGACTAGACCCCATTGATTTATTGATTTTAGGAGCCAAAAACAAAAACAAAAACAAAATGCGCCAGCAACTTCTCTATTTAGACAGTCATTTTTTTTTTCTATTATGACATAATATCTACGTATTTGTTGTTATCCTATGTAATGTGCTCACAATACTAATTTTTGGGTTTTATCATCTTCATTTATTGTCTTTTATAAAATAATAACAATAAATGATTATTTTTATTACTTTTATTTTATTCAACAACAGGTGAATGTAAGTATTGTTTACATGTGGGTGAGCACATTTCCCAACTATGCCCTTACAAGTACGATGCCCCAAAGGACGCAACTCTTGGCGAAGGTTGTATGGTTGTTTGTAGTATTTGTTGCTGCCTCCTTAGAGACTCATGTTGTGCTGATTGTGACCTAAGCATAGGATGTGCAGTTCTCAAGGATTGTCCAATCTGTAGGAAGCAAGGTGAACGTTGGCCTTCTACGTGCTCAAAACGCGAGGGGAAACATATTCCCTCTGCTTTTACTTGCGACTTTGATACTGGTTTTTTTCTTCCAACTAATGTCCATTAAAATAGTAGATAATGAAATGTTATTGCTACTCTAAAGTTAAAGCAAAAGATCGAAAAAGATTAAATGTTAATTATATTTAAAAAATAATTACAATTTATTTTTATTTTAAATGTTTTTAAATAATTGTAGTCTTCGTAGACATGCAGAGTAACTCACTTCAAGAAGGACAAAAAAAAAACAAAAAAAAACTCCTGCAATATCTAATTCAACTCCTTCTATTTGTGGCCCTGTCTCTCTATAGTTGGAGATGGAATTGCATATAATGAAAGAAAAAGAAAAGGAGTGCTCTTTTACGTCGTTTGCTATAAATTCCATTCTTTTGTTTAGCCATGCATTGCATCATACGATTGTCTACTTGGTGTTTTGTTTTTATCGCAAATGAATTGCAATTTGTAGCACATAGCCTATATTATATTCTTCTGCTTGAAGATTTTAGACAGTTTAGACGTATACAGATCCAAGTCATTCGCTGAACCCCTGAGTTTCCCCATATGTCCAAAGAAAGGGCAATTCAAGAATGCTTACAACATAAATAACAGGAACCTACCTACCAAGCACCCTCCTGCCTTCTTCACACCCCACCCCCAAAAACAATGTTAAAGCCCGTTACCACTGTTGGACTACAAAACTGGCCAACCTAATAAATCAAGAGAGCAAGTCCACCAAGAAGTAAACTCGTGAGAGAAATGTCCCCGGCGAGGCTACGATGATCTCGACTGTGGAACTAGCCGGCGGATATTACGCTTTACATACATGTGTGTCCTAATAAATCAAATGTGATGTTCTCACTACAAGTCAAATGGATCCATCAAGGTCAGGGCTAGAGGATTTACAACCTGCAACATGAAAACCTGAAAAGAATCAAGAAAGATCAAAGTAATGCGTCACCAAAATAGTTTATTTTTATTTAATGGTCATCTATTGATTTGTATAACGATGTTCTTAATGCGTTAACAGAAGGGGGGAGGTGAAATCGTGATCATTAATTCGTCCCTGGCATCACATTCCCATTAGATTCAAAATTCCACAACTGTTTTTTTTCCCTCTATTGCATAGGCTTTTCAAATTTTGTTCAAACAGTTCTTTAAGTTCTAGAGGAAGATCTAGTGTACCGTCGTAGTCGCGTAGTTAACATCCATCCCAAGTGCTTGATATCGCCGAAGCAACTCCACCAGCTCCGGGCCACTGTGATTAGCAACATCCCATTGGTCACCACCCGTTCTCTGGTGGCGACATCCTTTTCGCTGCTGCTGGACATAAAGTCTCCAAACCCCCACTGATATCCCATCTGCCACCAGGTTTGCAAATCCAAGCACCAATACATCCACAACACACAGTTGTAGATGCTAATTATTATAGTCACCTTGGGTGTCTACATTCATAAAAGCTCTACCACACTAAAAATATGTTGATTATTTTCACCTGGGTTTGTTTTCTGTATCCTTCTTTTGGGTTGTAAGACTTACATAGCTTGGATCTCAACTAACATGTTAGCTGGTGTTCTGTTTATGCATTCTTTACTTTGTACCAGTTTCTTGCTTCAATAAATTACATTGAGCCAAAATATACAAATGTGCTAACATTAATTGCTCTTTCAGCAGACGTAGATTAGGTCAGTTGATCAGAGTAGTGCGCCCGTTCCCTTAACCTAAGTTCGAGTCCCCATCCCATAGATTAGATTAATTTTGAGTAATTTTGATTATCGCTTATATTTTTAAAATAAAACAAAATTGCTCTCAGCATTATCAAACACAATGACAATTCAAACCGATCAAGATCAATGGCAATATAAAAAGCAAATTCTTCAGGTCATGAGAAACACATAAACCCAATACACATTTTCATTTTCAAGAAAACTTTTAAGACCGAGGAAAAAAAAAAAAAACCTATGATTTATTTCCAGAGGAAATACGACTAGCAGAGATAGAGGAAATGAGAGAGAAGCAATTGACAATGGCATCAAGACCGGCATACAAAATGCTCTTAGCATACTCTCCTTTCCATGGCTCTTTTGGTCTCTCACTCTTCTTGCTAATATCACCTCCTGTTATAAGCTGCATCAGCCATTTTGTTTTTTCAAATTCTTTTTGGGAGCCAATTTTCTACTATTTGACTGTTCCAAATATTTTTCACAGTTTCATGCATCAGCTGGGTAAACCAAGATGAAGATGAAGTCAACCAAAAAAACCCAAAACAAAAGAAGAAAATAAAAAAGAAAAGAGGGCGTGCCTTGTGCGTTGTCGTTGTGCATGTGCAATGCAAGTGGCTTGCCAGTTTGCCACTTGTATTACTTGATTGGTAGAGTGCCTCATTCATGGCTAGGCCTCGGCTATCTTGTCTGCCTTAAAAAAATTTAAGAACTGATTATTTGGCTTTAGAGAGTGCAAAATTGGACTAGAATGGAAACTTCGGCATGTCTACTTATCAAACGGGTATTAGAAGTTTAGAATTATTCCAATTCTTTCTTTCTATGTGTTTACTAATATGTGGGTATTGGAATAATTCTAATTCCTTACTTTCTCTCCGTTTACTTACAAATATGGAATACAAAATTATGGGAGTTCTATGATAGAATTCGTAATCAAATACCCTTCAAAATTAGGAATTATATCAACCAAGGGGAGTACTTGATCTGATTCCAATTCTTAAGTTCCTCGATTCATGACTTCTCTCATTCCTTATAAATAAACCTGCCAATCGAAAATGGTCTTAGAGATTTTAAAATTTGAAATTATATAAATTAATGTGTAATTCAAAATCTAAAAAGGCAAATAATTAAACTAGAATCGTAAAATATCTTAGATTTCTATAAGTTGATTCAAACGTTAAAAAAGAAGAAAAAGAGTTTGATATTTTTAATTTTATTTTCAACAAACGTTTCATTGGATTATAAAGAAAAACAAAATACCATGGAAGAGGCATATGCCATATGCCACATATATGCTTTGGCATATACACTCTTCTCACAGAGAATCCAATGACCACGAGGTGTGTGAATAATGTTCTTTTGTCGAACAATCTATACTATAATATAAGGAATTTGTATTATCAATCGTATTGTTAATCTAAACTGAACATTATCTGTTGGTTGAATTTATATGCTCTCTTTTTGGTCATGATGCGTTTTATATGTTATGCCTGCATTATGTATGGTTTGTTATTTATTCAAGTATCGTTGTGTGAGTCAATGAAAAGAAAAAGAAACCAATTCTCTTCTCTTCCTCTTCTTCACCACGCAACCCAAACTGGGACCTGATGATGACCCAATTGACGGGGCAGCGAACTTGCAGTCAATACAATACAACAAGAAAAGGAAAAAAAAACAAATATTATTTATTTTATTAATTTCCTTACTTGTCGTTTCGGTCACATGCTGAGCAATAGTAACAGCTAATTTGTCGAGTTGGATACTCGTGTATAACAATCTAAACTAATCAATGGGATTATCTCAATTTACAAATATTTTCTCTATCAATAATTATCTTCATTAACATCATCACCCTAAATAAAATATGTAACCTCATTTCTTAGACATGAACTCTTATTTCCTTGCATTTAATAATTTATTGTTTCATGTATTTGTCTTCTAGAAATGAAGTAGTTGTGTTTTCCAAAAAAAGGAAAAAAGAGAGGAAATAATTCTGAATTATTTAAAAATTTAATCGTAAGACATTTAGGATGCTATAAATCATATACAAATTTATAAATAAACCCAATCCTAGACATGTATTTATAAAAAAACCCAAGCACTATTTAAACATAGAAACACACCCAAAATCAACCCCAAAGTCAATTTTTTGGGTGTGTTTATAAATGGGTTTTGAGTGTGTATAGTGATGGATTTTGGGTGTGTTTATATGTTTAAATAGTGCTTGGGTTTTTTTATAATTTCAACCCCCATTTTGGGTGTTTTAGTGAAACTCCCTCATATCATAAGACATGCGCAAATGCAGGTTAGGCCAGTTTACTAAGGCAGTGTACCTGTTCTTTGCACCTAAGTTTGAATCCCCTTCCCGTACATTAGAATAATTTAGAATATCATATGCTGTGCTTCAACCTACATATTGGCACCGACGTGCCGTTTAACCTATTGGTAATGGGCTCAGTCTAGGTAGTCAGTTAAGTGGTCATTTTCTTAGGGGTTATTATATAACACTTTAATTTGTACCAAATATCGAATTATGAGTGCAAGAAAGGGTCAACCCATTGGCCCAGATACTTTCATGAATGTCGATCAATCTAGAATGAATATCTTTATAGAAAAAAAAATATCTGATATTCAAATTGGGTTTTGTCCTTTTTAGACTTTATCCCTTGCTTTACCATTGAGCAAGCTACAGTTTAGATTTTCTTTTACTAACAAAATACACCTTTTGTGTGTGTAATTATAAGATTAAGCCTCATTAAGGATAATCTAAAACTTAAACCATGATCTGATTAATGGTAATTTCTTGTCAGAATTGTGAAATACAGCTTCATAGTACAAAACATTCACAAGAAGATTATAAAAATAAGGGACGGGGGGGTAATTGTTGGCTTACTAACACTGGACAAAAATACAAAGAATTAGAAAGAACGGACGAAAGGTGAAAAAATCTAAACGGAGGTGAAAAAAAAAATTCCTAGAGTTGTTTTTTAGCATAATTAACATTTGCTGAACAGCTAATGATAAATAAGGAACCAATTGAAGAAGCTTATTCTTCAGACCAATTGACTCTTTTCTTCATCTTCTCCACCATTTTCGAGTCGAATCCTTTCATGTTCAGTTGAAGCTGGTTTTGAAATCTTGGGCTGGGCAGATGAGTTTAAAACCCTCTGGTTTGGTTTATTTTCAGGCAAGAGCTTCAATGTGATCCCCATACCTATGAGCAGAAGTCCAGTCCCGTGCTCTTCAGTTAATGGCTTTGTGAATATCAAGTATGATAGCAGTAATGTGACTGCCTTTCTAGCCGTTGTGATCTGTGATTTAAAAAATAAAACAAAGTTCAATGAAAATAAGTAAAATAATTTATATAACTCACATTGTACAATATGCTTGTTCATCAACGTGCATGATATTTAATGTTACCTAGAACCAAGAAACAGGGCTCTTGCTTTCAGAAAATGCCAGTTGAAAATAAGGACTACATCTATACCATTAAATGTGATTTCAGGATATTTATAACAGGTTTTGGTACCACATTGACATATCTAGGCCAAAATAGACCGGTGAGAAGAATGTACCATGGCTGTGGTGGCAGCACCAAAAAGCGCAATGAGGGAAAGGACGGAGACTTGGCCAATGAATGTGGCCATGGCTTCGAAGATTAACACGCCGTAGACATATGGATGCTGCATAATACCAAAAGATTTTGTTAGAAAGTGTAAGGCTTGTGAGGCATGTGAGGCATGTAACATGGTGGAATATTAAGGAGTTTCCAATTGTAAGTTACCTGCCAACATGAATTCCATGCTTTGAATAATTCTCCTGTCAAAAGCATGGGTGGAATCAAGAAAGGCAGGCCAACTACTGTAGAGCAAAACAGCATCTCCATCTGTGGATAACGATAATAGAAAACACAAAATTGTATGTGAACAATTTTCGAATTAATGTTTAAAAACACATGCAAAAGAGAATTTAGGAAATGATTATCACCTGTGTGGTTTCAGGATTCATGGTAAATATTGCTTCTTGCAAGTTACCCAAAAAGGAATCCATGACTAGAGCACCCGATACCATCAAAACACCAATCACACTGAAGTTGGGAGATGTTTGTGCATCCGCTAAGGTGAATAGGATCAAACCCACCACCAAAAGGACTGCAGAAACGTACTCGTGAGCCGGATACTTCCGTCTCAGACCAGGTATGAAGGCTCCCATTACCATTACAGGCAGAACCTGAGATACCAAAATCATGAAGCTAACATAAGAAGAGCAGAGAAACTGTAAATGGCACTAGGAAATGCAGTCAATTCCGGTTTACAGTTTTAAGCAACAAATTACAAAGCAAGTTCAAAATTGTATTACTCGAAAAAAGTCAACTAGCTTTAAAGATGGCATTATTTACTTAGTTACTGAGATAGAAACTCAAATCAAACTCTTTAACTCTGCATATCTCATTCCCCCAAAAAGAAGAAGAAACTCAAACTGGTCACTCTAAACAAGCAAGTAATTGTTGTAGAAGCCAGTGTATGTACAGTCAATTTGTATTCTAAAATGGCTGCTTTGGCTGCTTGAGCTGTAAAAAAGAATTACCATATTACTTTCAAGGGATTTGCTGTTTACCTTTGTTGATTTGAACATGAGCTGTGCAGGATAGTTGAGAAAAGCCAGGGAGCCTTTGGTAAGACCATGGGAACCCATAAGCACAGCAGATAGCTTCACATAAGTCTTCCATGGGTTCACCATTTGCTTGGTGGTGAAGCCTTGGAGGTAAATCAGAAAAAGATACACAAATCCTTGTACAAATGTGAAGTACCAACCATAGCTGGAACAAGGAATTTACAAAACACATAAACAAACAGGTACTAATCGAATGCCAAAATAAAAACAATACCAATATGATCCCCTTACCTGAATTGTAGCCTATTATACACATATTCCTGAAAATAAGGCAAAAATTAAGATCACTTAGCAATCTTAAAAAATAAAAATTTCCAATTATCGATTGCTTTTGAGATACATTGTTCCAAAATTTAATTCATTCCTGAAATGGACGGTCCACATTTTTTTTCAAAACGCGGAATAAAACTAATTCCAAAATGATACTTTTGATTCCTCAAAAAGTAAACGCATAAAAAAATAAAACCCATTGGTCCCATAACCCTACAGAGGATTAAAGTTTCATTAGATTTTTATTTGCTAAACTTTCTCAGCAACCAAACAGAGCTTAAAACAGAGGAAATATTATCAAACAAAAATCATGAATCTGCTAAGGAAAATAAAAAAGTTTCCTTGCTCAAGAGATAACGCTTGACCTTTGCTTGGTAGCTACGACACTATACAGAAAAGGAGATAACCAAAGACAAAGAAATGACTCATTCGATCAATTTTCCCAAGAACCAAACAAAAAAAAGCTTTAAACCGCCGATTTTCCTTCATTTTCCAGGCGTCAGTTTTCTCGGCAACCAAACAGGCGCGGATTGCAAAAAATAAGAAACAAAAAGCAGAGTGAAATAAATACCTCGCAGATACCATTAACAAGGTAGCCAAAGAAGAACCCAGAAGAGCAAAAAAGGAATTGCTGCCATTTGGGTCTGTCAGAGAGCGAAATCCCAAAGAGAAACCGAGCTTGTTCTTCGTTCTTCATCGCTTTCAATCGTTTTCTCAGAGACCCAACTGAGAACTGGGTTTATTGGGTATTGGGTACCCAACACAGAACTCAAAATCAATGAGAAGGGGCCTTGAAAAATGGTGTATTTTGATCAAAAACCAATGCAAGAAGAATATATGAAATTCATTACAGTTGGTGGTGCACTTGCATGTTTGACCTTCCCAGCACAGAGAAAACGATGATTTTGTGTGTATATATATAAGGAAAATGGTATCGGGTTGATTACGGTAACTATTTATTATTTACTTATAAAGCATGATGCCATATAAGGAAAAATCTAGAGAGAGAGAGAGAGAGAGAGAGAGAGAGAGAGAGAGAAAGAAGAGGGAGAGTCTTTTACAGACTCAGAGTTGGAGCTCTTTTATCAATTTATCGCACTCTTTTTGCCTCTTTGAGTTTGCAAGCTGCCAGAATAAAGAGAGAGGTATACACTGCTGCATATTTCAGAGCTTTATTAGAGGAAGGCTGGTTGGGCTGTAATCTGCTGCGGATGAGCTCATTGGTTCTTTCTGTGTGCCTCTTTTTTCAACTAATCACGAAATGCAATAGATTCTCGTAATATTATAGCATTAGTGGTAAAACAACCACCATTAAATTTCAATTGTATACGAACTTTATATTAGATTTGATTTTACATTCCTTAATTGACTAAGTAGTTATGATTTGACTGTATAATGACTCTATAATGACTGAGTAGTTCTGATTTGAAAAACAACCCTTTACAAATTATATGTATCATATTTCTTACACATCAACTTTTTATTATTTATAGAAGCGATTATTCAAATAATTCTAGTTTACGAAAATGAGAATTGAACTCCGATGTAAAGAAACGATCACACTCCTTTGAAAATTTTGACATAATTTGCACCTACCTTACTTTGAATTCAATACTTCAAAAGGTCAATGTTATTTGTAATCTTGGTTTTCCGTGACATTTCGGATTGTAATTAATCTTATAAGATGGTTATAATATGCAAATCAAAATACATTGTACATAATTATTATTTTTTATCTACAATTATTGATAATTGAAGAAAGTTTATGAGCAGGCCAACTTTTGGGATTTTGAAGAAACCCTGTATTACCTAAAAGAAATTAAAAATACGAATTTATGTAGCCATCCATGTACTTGAACCATCATGTCCATGAAGATCAAAGTCAATTAGTTTCGTGATACGCACAGTTCCATGACTTAGGACTTTGAACAATTGGATTAGATCCATATATAACGTTCAGTTTTTCCAACTACATGTGATGGGTTCAGAATTGTTGTACATTAAATATGTGTTCAACAATCCATGTGATATACATATAGGGCAAAAGATATGCCCACAACAAAAACATGAGGCAAACGTTTCATGGTGACAACCATACCATGCGTTTTCATAAACATAACATATATCTATACTATCAGTGTTCTCCCATTTAGACGTTTAGAAGTTAATACCGTGTGAACGTTATTATAAATATGGTGAAAAACAAGAAGGGGTTGTACAAAATATATGACATTTGCATGGTAATAACGTATAGGAGAAAATATATCTATACTATAATTATTGTTTAGTAAATGAAAATTAATTTAACTAACATAAAATAAATTCATATGTGTTCCTCTCATTTTCCACTACTTATTTTCCTCTTCTTCTCTTATTTCTTCCACAATAACGGTTTCCACATCCATGTAATATGGGATTGAACAATTATGAAAATGACATACCTAGCCCTGTTATCATCCCTAAAAGATATACAACTTTATGAGAAATTGACATTACCCCCTCATATTTGATAATGTTCGTTTTAACCGAAAAAAGGCTCAATTTAAATGGAGTAATTTCAAAAAATATTAATTCAGATGACATAAGGTAAAAAAATTGTATGAACTATTACAATTCATGTATGAGAAGATTTGGAAGAAATAGATTTCAAATTATTCCTTGCCTGTAGTTATAAATCTCATACAATTCTAATTTTAATAGCAAATTTAATCTCATTATCAAATTTAATAGTGTGTTTCCTAATCAAGAATTGAAATTCCACCTATGGAGGATTCCTGGGTTTACTTCACATTAAGGAATTAAAAAGTAAGTGGAGCCTATACAAAATCAAGAATTCAATTCTTAGACGGGATGTGATATTCTAATTCCTAAAAAACTAACCCATTAAGAATTCATCTTTTTTACCAATTATATCCTCACACAATTTTAAAAATTCTAAATTTGTCATCTACTTAAACCTAACAATGAGGACATTTTAATAATTAACACCACTCCTATCCATCCAACTCCTCTTCCATGTAATTACGAAGTAATAAACATACCATAATTCTTTCTTTCAAATTCGAACCCGAAAAAAAAAGGCAGTGCGGTTTCTGTGGATCCTCAAATGAAAAGCCGCGTGAGACATTGAAGAGGATCACGATTCTCTGAGGCTCTCTCGCTCCTCCTTCCTTTCCTAGCCAGCTCCTAAATTTTAACGTCCACTTCTCCTCTCACACTTCTCAAGCTCCCAATGACACGTTTTCCAGGCGTAACCAGATGTCGTTTTAATACAACGCCTCCTAGATTGGATTTTATGCCACTTGGGACCTCTTCCTCCACCCAATCATTTTGCGCCACGCGGAGAACTATATGACGAGCTTCAGCGTGAGCGTACGTACAACGGGACAATAAACCGGGTCCGGGACTCTTCATATACGACAGATCACCGCATGTCGCTGGAGACACGTCAAGTCCCTCACGTCAAATTAGCCGACTAGGCTTAATAAATCCCTGTTCCTAGTCCACACCATAGTTCATCGCGCACGTCACAATATGACTTAGGGATACTTTAGTTTTTTGTTTTATTAGCTTTTTCCTTTAAGTATTTATTGGCTCTTTATTTTAGCACCACACATATATATATATATCTATATAAATAATATATTGATGTGGTATATACTTTTATATTTTATTGTCTTTGTTCTTTTTAAGTTTCTTTATGTCTTTTATTTTTTTTCAGTTAACGTCGGACGCCCAATTTTGAGGTCAATCAACATTGTAATTATTAACGATTACAATTTAACCCAGCTACATTCCTAAAATTCAAATACAACGAACTAACATTTATATACTTCAATCTTTGTTTTTTTTTTTTTAATAGAAAACATTGATGATACGAGGGAAGTTTTATTAATCATCAAATGAAAATTAGGGGTACTTAAAGCTTTACTGCTATTACAAGCATAAAAAAGAAGACAATCGTGAATATTATTCGGTGGTTTCTCAAACCATTCTACTCTAGAATCATAAGACAGTGCACTCCTTGCAAGGTGATGTGCTACCTCATTAGCTTGACGCCTAACCAACAAAAATGAGGAAGGATATTGCTTGCCTCCTTTTCTAGGAGGATATTGTTTGCCTCATTCCTTAGGACGAGATACTCCTCATTCAAGCAAATCACGATTTGATATATGCAAAAATAATTCATCAAACGCACAAAAATAAAAACTTATACACACATGTCATATTGTTATTTATAGGAATATAGGAGTTTCAACTTACAGGGAAAGGAGGGAAATATTTTCCAAATAGGAATGGTCTTCATCCGTACGTGCAATAGCTGAGATCACTTGCAGACAATCCCCTTCGAAAATCACTCTTGACAAACCAAGAGATTGCTCAAACATCACAGCCTCTCTTGCCGCATAAGCTTCAGCGATGTCCGCCACCAAAACCTGCGGAATACGCACTAACGTAGCAGCCCAAAAACTGCCCATCTATATACTACAATCTTTCACTTATTTAATTTCTTTGCTTAAAACGATAAATCTAAAATTCAAAAAATAATGTAACACATCTCCATTCGTAAAATTCAAATTCAAAGCGGTGAAGAACAAATAGAATTTGCTAAAAAAAAGCCGGCTAACGGGGTTATAATGCAATGTAATTTTCCGTTTTCTAGTTTATGCACAAGTACTCAATAATTATAGTATACTCTAAATTTTGTAGAAAAAAAGTATAACAAAATAAAAGAAAAGGGTATATGCATGTTTGCTTCTAGATAAGGAGACAAATACAATTAGGAACTGGACGAAGACATAAAGGAATATAATAGAATCAAAGTAGAACAACGTGCATTATTAATTATTTTATGTGACATCTTTTTATGTCGGTTATTGAATGAAATCCAATTATCTCGATAATAAAAAATGGTATTTTAGTGTTAAACACGAAAGAGTCCAAACCACTCAAAATAAGGCACAAATGTGAAGGATTCAATCAAACAAAACCTCACAATCAACAGAGCACAACTTGCAGAGCAAGCTTAACATTTCCCCATTGAATGTCCAAGAATCTCTTATATACAAGGCAAATTAGGGTCAGGTCATGGGGCCAAAGGGGCCCTTAATTTTTGGGTCCTCCACATTCCACTCCAACCATATGAAGAATGGGATATGTTAAAACCGCCCCAAGAGCCAAAAGTGGTCCATTTGTTGCATTTTTAAAATCTTGCCTTGAAATGACCTTTGCTTAAGAATGAGCATTTTTGGTACCCCATATAAATTGAACTGCTAAAACCGGAAGAATTGTCGGTGGGGTGGGCATGTGAGCCTCCCCTCCTTGTGTGAATGTGAGTGAAACATGAGGCTGTACTAATAGTGTTGGAGGAAGCTCAAGAAATGGGAGTTTATTTAGGGTTCTTGGTAAGACACTTTTACCTCGAGTTAGGGCACTGTTGATTGGCTTACATTTATAAATAAATAAAAATTAGTATCTCTTTTATAGTGTTAGTAACATACTAATTGTTAGGTTTTTCTTCATTTTGTGATCCAAAACGTAAAATAAATAACAAATCTTATTCTTCTGTGTGTTCTTCTAATATTTTTTTGGGAGACTTTGGAAAAACACAAAGGAGAGAGAAATTTTGTAAAATAAGCAAAATTAGACAAAATTACCCTTATTTATTTTTGGATTTCCTAAAGAATCCTTTACATTTGCATGTCTTTGATTTGAAAGTTGAGAGGTTTTTATGTCTTTTTTTAAAAAGCTTTGGCTTTTTCCAAAAGTAAAATTTTTTTTTGGTTAAAACCTAAATTTACTTTTTTTTTTAATACAGAAAACCAGTACATTACAAATAGAAACTTCTTGATCAAGCTGACCTAAAGAGAAAGAAAAAGGGAAAGAGCAAGACATAAGCAGCTCATGCTCAATTTGGACGGATAAAACCCGTGCCCAAGAGTGTCAGCAGTAAAGTTGGCCTCTCTAAACACATGTTTAAAATTCACTTCCTCACATAGGAGCTTAACAAACCAATTCTCAGTATAGGTTATATTTATAGGTAAGTCTGTGTGGTTATCTGTATTTGTACTGGCTCTTGTGACTGACGGCCTTTGTGCCTGAATTATAAATGCAATCTATCGTCTTTATCTCCAAAAAAATCCAAACAATTTTAATTAGGGTCCGTGTACGAATAATTATGCTAATTAATTGAAATTGTTAGATTAAAAAATTATTCTAATTATGCAAATACTTGAGAAAATGTCTCCGAGGCTGAACACAAATCTTTGAATTGACTACAAAATGTTGGATGAAAGCTTAGCATTAGGCGTCCTTACGTTCTTGAATCATGGGGACAAAGAATGGCACATTTACCACAAACACATGGGAAATTCATGCCCTCTCCACCACTACACATATTGGATTTTTCATTCAAATAATTTAATTTATTTTTAATTCAATAATATTATATATATATGGAGCCTTTGGTTGTACATAAACTAGTAGACTTTATAAAGGGGAACTAGTAGACTTTATAAACAAGCAAGATTTTTCTATCTTGCATAAGTTTCTCTATGTTATGCCCTAACTGACGGGCATACCTTTTTGCTGCATTCATCTTTCTTTTTATCAAAACCAATTACCGCATTTGCCTTTCACTTTCTCTATTTAGTCAAAGATAAAAAGAACTCTTCTGTTTCGAGCATTTCTTATGCTTGTAGCACGATAGCCCCTAACATATGCCCTTCACTATGCTTGATGATGCAGCTATAATTAAGGAATGTTAAGTCTTACGTAGAGTCAAGTCTGATCAAGAATGCTTAATAAACGTGAAGTTTTATTTTATTTTTACGGTCGAATTCAACATGTTATATTGTGAAACTTTCAATCGATGAGATGATATAAAATTAGATTTGATTTTTGGCATGGATAAATATTTAATGAGAACATGGGGTGGGAAGGGATGGAACCTTTCACATGTCAATTTGCTTTTCTATGTGCCAAGCATACTTTGAATGGAATCGGTTTGACAAAAATGCACAAGAAGGTGGCTATCATTGGATACTGACTGGTGTGGTAGGGGTTCGGCTTTATTAAATGTGGTGCACTAAATAAAACACAAGGAAAAAGTAAAGTGAAATATCTTAGGAGAATGGAATGAATGTTTCAAATATGCCATGTGCCTTTGAAAATGACCTGAATAAAATTGTTTTGAGTCAATGATTGTGGAAATTGATATCTAAATTTGGGCTTAATTTTGTGCTCAACTTCACCATGAAGATTGAAATCCAAAGAAAAAAAATTAAAATTGTAACCCAATTTAAGTATTGCTTTGACTATTGCATTCAAATCAAGGAAGCCTATAACCTTCTGAACAGTCCATAGTGGAAAAAATAATTTACAAAGTTAGCTCAAAATCCGGCCCGGCTCGATGTTTAGCCCCGATTGAGTAGGACTTGAGCAAAGGGTTTGAAATCTTGAATTAAGTTAATTTTTTTAAATATTTTATAAAAAAATTGTTACAAAAAGATATATAAAAAAACTTACGAAAAAAAAAGGTCGGCCCCATCTAGGCCTATGGGTGGCCTAGTTCGGCCCGGCCCATAAGCTCGTTTAGATCCAATCCAATAAACAGGTCCGAATTTTGACCTTTGAAACCTCAGTCCGGTTCGATAAATGAAAAACATGGCCGGAGCTAAAAAATTTCCAAATATTTGTTGTTGCTATTGTCAGTGTTTAAATTTCCTTCTTATTATATATGTGTTTATTTATTTTCACAAATGTTTAACATCAGACCCTACAAAAAGTGGGCACAAGTTATGCCTCTCACTCCCAAATTCTTGTTCATCCTATCTTTACAAGCCAAAAGATGAAATTCTCAGAGATACAAACTGATGCTCACTTTAAACTCATATATCCACTCTATCCGCATCTTTAGCCAATGGCCACAATTAGATACTGCTCCTATCTATATATCATCATAACACATGTCTCATTCATGGCTTTATTTTGGGCCATTTCACAGACTACTTCACTAATGCAATGTTCTGCCTTCAGACACCCAAATTTCCACTATGCCAATGGGGACCCAAATTGAGTGACAAGGTTGAGACTTGAGAGCCATTTGATGGAAAAAAATAAAGAACTTTATCTTGATAAGAGATCAACCAGAAGCTCCTCCATCAAGAAATCTGACATGGCAGTCTCAATTTCTAAAGCCAGCTCCTCTTGCTCATACTCAAACTTGTTCCACCTCCCTTCTTTATGCATGTCTCTAACACAAGCTTCCTTCTTGTGCTCTAGCCCCCACTCAAGTTCATTGTGTTCTCCACTCACCCAAGCTTTTGCTTTGCTCACCATCTCCCATTGAAATCCATCATCAGTTTGATTTCTTTGGACACTCATTTCTTCTCTAAAGAAATCCAACAGCAGTTTATCTTCCAAATGGCCTTCCTCACAGCTGTCTGGTGATGAGCTAGTTGCTTTGACATAATTCAACAGCTCCATGGCCATTTCTTCATCTTCATCACCCACATTGGCAAGGCTTTGATCAAAAGTACTTGAAAATGAATCTTCTTCATCTTCCCCAAATTGAAAATCAAGCACTGAAACTGGGCTGTGCTGTTCATCTTCATCACCCAGCAGCACCTCAACCTGCTAATGTTCACACACCAATCAAATTCCGCAGAGTGTACAATTCTTATGAACAAAATTTAAAAGTCAACATTTTAAAATTATGTGAACTAATTAGGCATAAAAATAATAAATAAATAATAAAATCCTCTTTTATTTCAGCATTTGCCAAAGTGACAGAAATTGCTGTTACCCAAAAAGGGTGACAAAAACTGTTGCTTTGGACATTTGTATTTAAGAACTAAATCCTCACTAAGTACATATTAAAATATCAGATAAAAGTACTTTGGGATCTAAACTTAAATGTCTTTTAGGTTAGTGGTAAACTTCTATTTTGTCTGATATGCATGATAAACTCTGTGATATATGCTCTGCCAAAGGTAAGATCAAAATAACCAGGGGATTTACCATGGTTCATGGTTAAAGGATATTTTTTCTGGGGTCAGAGTTTAGAAGAGGGACGAGAGGTGTCATTAGAATTTGAACATGAGAGTAAGACTATTAATTTGTAGACAAATTCTCTTACTACTGAGATATGGACCCATTTGGCGGTGGTTAAAGATGACTCGTAAAAATTGTTCTCCTATGGCCCACCAAGTACCATAAAGTACAACCAAGGGCAGGTCAACCAAGTTAATAACATGAAAAGGACCCTCAACAGCAGACACACAATATAAATATAGATGCGGTGCACTAAATAATTGCTCTACCTGGGGTCCCAAAGCAATATTGCAACTTCCTGTCCCTGTCGTTGATGCCTCCTCCTCCGTGAAATCCTTGCCGACACATGGTAAATATTTTTTACCACCGTCCTCATCAGCTTGAGGGTCAGACTTACTACAAACCCATGACTGTAAAAACTCTGCGGTAAAATCACTGTCACACCAGCTTGACCCACTACTGCTGCTGCTACAAGTTGTACAAGTGGTAGTTGTGGACCCTGTTATGGTGGTGCTTGTGGTACAATGGAGAGGTGAAGAAGCATAATCCAACGGTGGAGGTGGAGGTAACATTTCATCGCGGAACGATGTCCACCGTATGATGTCCTTGACTCTCACAGTAATTTGGACTTGGTTTTGACGCTGCTTCCTTGATGAGCTCTGAAATTTTGACTGCAGCAGCCTCCTTGAGAGGCTTCGAGGTAAAAAGGAGGGAGATTTTACCGTGGTAGGGATGTTTTTAACTGCATTCATGAGGGACTGGAAGGCTGAGATTGTGGTGCAGGCTGCCTTTGATCTGCTTCTGAGTAATTTGCTGGTAATGGTGGGGTTATTTTTTGAGTTTGAACTTGTTGGTTTTGGATCAAATTCAATGAGGTTCTTCTGGGGACTCCTGGGATTGAATGGTGGTTGTTTTCTGGGGAATGATTTGAATCCACTTGAAGAACATGAGTTAGAATTCTCATTGAGGAAATCTTTGAGGAGCATTCTAGGCCTGCGCTCTATTGGACAAGGCTTTCTTTGATGCTGCTGCAACATTTTTTTGTGAGATGAAAAAGTAAAGAGATTGAGAAAATAATTATTACCCAACAAGCAATTTTTGTGGTTTGAGAGCTTCAAGCCTTCAAATTGGATGATCCAAAGATTATAGGCAGACTTCAAAGGTGAAATGATCAGAAGAGAATTGTGGGAGAAAAGGGTTGGTCTGAAATTAAAGAGTGAAGTGGGAGAGAGTGAGGAGGGAGTGGAAGAAGAGAGGAAGGAGGAGCTTATATTTAAAAGGGTTTGGTGAGCATTGCAATAAGAAGATGAAGAAAGGGAGAGGTAGCTTCTAGGTGGGGATCTCCAGGTAGTTCATGAGGATGAATTTCAGAAAGACAAAAAGAAGCAATAAAAATGGGGAAAATGACAAACAAGTGTGGGAGGGTGGATGCTTCTATTTTGCAGTTATTTTAAGTGGAGGAAGAAAGGACTGGGTGAGTGATTATGTGAGATCTCTTGGTCTTTTGGACTCAGAAGCATGTTTTTTTGAGAGAAAGTGGTTTGACCTTAAATCAACTTGGGCATACTTAACATCTGTACTTGTGAGTTCGATCACATTGGCACATGGAGGAAAAAAAAACTTTTTTTGTAACAAGGATAAAACTCTTTTGCTATCCCCGATAATAATACAATAACACATGAGAGAGATGGTTGCATGAGAGTTTCTCTCTCTCCACATGTAGGATTGAATTTGTATTTTGTACTAGCACATTGATTGATTGCATGCTGCTGCCCATAATGTTCTTAAGACCGATCTTATTCCAATAATAATTTTTGTAGAGATTGCAGCAAGTGTCATGAATCTCATGCTTGCTAATTTAAGTATATTTAAGCAAGTTTTAGAGGAAATTTGAATCAAATCAAGATTAATGTAGTACAATAGGAAAATGTTCCACACAAATTATTTGGCTTTGTTGCGTTATAAGTCTATCAATCTAAATGATTGATTTAGTGGATTTTTGTTTAAATACATAATCCAGATTGTTAGTATGATAATTTAATAATTAGATGATATAATGGGATGGAGCATGACGACTTATTGTATAGAAAAACCTTTCTAGGGTGTGAAATTTATGTACGCATATCAAACTATACTTTTTGTTTATGGAAAAAATAACTCATTACGAAATAAAATAAGGAGTGAAGTATTTTTCATAAGTGCAACCACAAAATCGTGGTGGATTGCAAGCATGGCCACTTTGGCCATTGACAATTACATGGTTGGTATGATCAGTCCAAATTCGTACAAGATCTTTAAAATTTTGGAACTTGTCCACTAGTTCACCGCCAGGTCATTTATGTGATCACATGTGGCTGATCCTTATAAGCCAATATGTTACACATGCAATTGGCTGTGGGCCCCAACCATCAGAAGGATATCTGATTCCGATCACAAATGGTGGACTCCGCGCGCCAGTGTCGGCTCCTCTAGTCCGCATCACACCCACACGCACAAAACTTTCATAGCCGGATTTGCCTAAGGTTGATACGGTAATTTCACCACTTGATCATCAATATCAAATATGGAATGCCATGAATGGGTTTTATGTTTCTCAACCAAATATTCACATTCTCTGCCTCAACTCAACTATCACATAATCAATGGAGAAATATTCCCATGGGCATGGTGATGCATCCATCTCTTAGGTAACTAGGGCATAAACAATTAACTTCTCGCCGCAAGCTAAAATTCCTAGATGCGAGTCTTAAATTTCACATTAGAATTAATTGATCATATTTGATTTCATGATTTTCACTTCAAATACTGAACTACATATTTTATGACAAACAACTTTTGATAAGATGGAATGCAATACGAATAAAGATATATGAAGCGACTTATGGTCACAACCACCCCTTTCACTTTGAATATGTATGAATACATAATAAGATAAGAAGGGATATAATAATTCAATTAGTTAATAATATTATCCGTTTAATTGTAGTGTACATTTGTTTGTAGGCTTTTTAAATTAGTTTCATAATGAATTGTCCATGAATTATGTTGAGTTTAGTTTAACCCATGACTTTGTCATTTTCAATGCCTCATCATCACTTTGTGTTCGTGTCTAATCCCTATTAGAAGGACACAAGTCCCATTCATCCTCATCATTTTCTTTTTGGGGGTTTTTCCCCCCTTAGAGCATCTCCACCCACAAGGGTTAAGTCTAAGGCAAGGGCAAGTAAGGGCTGCCACTATTCACGTGAATAGTGTCAGCCTTTGCATTTGTGGTTCCACCCATGAGGGCAAAGTCTAAGGCAAGTCAAGGGCAAGAAAAAAATATATATATGCAACAAAATATAAAATTGTTATGTATTTATAGGGAAAACATCCATAATTTTTTGGTATTTTTTTTTTTAAAAATTGAATTTTTTATATTTTTTTTGAATTTCTTTTGCTCGCTGACGTCAGCATAACATCAGCGCTGACGTCAGCGCCCTCGGGCTGAAGCCCAGGCAAAATCTGCCCTTGGGCTTGCCCGGGCTGGTGGGACCCAGGGCTTGCCCGGACTGCAAGTTGTGCGTTGGAGCTGCATTGGGCTTGCCAGGGAGGCCTTTTGCCCAGTTTGATAGCAGCGCTAGAGCTGCTCTTAGAATGATCTCTTCATATTCATGGAAGTATTATATCCAAAACTTGACCGTACATAATATTTTATTGTTCTCTCTTAATTATTTTTTTTTCCTTCCTTTTGTGGGTTTTCTTTTAAGCTTAATTTTCAGGTAACCTCCTAAGCTTCAACAATTTTACAAACAGGCATATTCAGAGCAAACAGGTAACCTCTCTTCTGCCACTCCTCTATGTCTCTTTCTCCCTCTATATATAATATATAATCTATTTAGTACCATGTCATCCTGTTTTTTTTTGTACCTTCCATTACTATCTAAGAAGATGTCTTGTGATAATATATACTAAAAGGATCATGCACGTATACACAAAATCATGGGAGTTCTAAAAGAGAGAAATTGAGATATGTAGAATGAAAGTAATTGGTAACAAGTGCACATTTGTTTTCCCTCTCATTACATTAACGAATCTTTTCTATACACGTGTCATAAATGAAATCATCGATTTTCTAAATCACAATTTAAAGATCATCCTTGCAAACCAGTTAGCATTTGGTCTACTTATATTTGTCAACAAATAATGTGTGCAATAATAGAATTTAGTAGCATTCGAGAGAATGAGTTAAATCAAAGGCAAACTTTCCCACAAAAAAAGAAGAATAAAAAATTGAACTCTCAAATTAATTTACTATGAAATTTCTCTCTTCAATATTTGTTTTGGATATGTAGAAATTAGCAAATTAATATCTATAAAGTATAAACTAATGCAAACAGAAGGGTCGTTTTTATAACAAATAGTATAGCCGCGCGGCTATACTCCTTTTAAAGATCATATATTCACGTGACGCCGAATCGATTGGCGGGCGCTAGGCGGGTTCTTGTCAAAAAAAATAAAAATAAATAGTATACCCGTTCGGCTATACTCGGGATTTTTTAACAAAAATGATTATAGCCGATCGGCTATACTGTTCCGCTTGGCGAGTCCATACAAATAGTATAGCCGCGCGGCTATACTCTGATTTTCTATACATAGCCGCTCGGCGGTAGTATAGCCGAATGGCTATACCGTTCAATTTCAGAGGTCCCTGTACCCGAACTCTTCCCACGTTAGTTTCAGAGGCCCGATTTGACAGGGATTTTTTGGCCAGCCCAAATTCATAAAATATTTTATGGGCTAGACTTTAGTTCATGTTTTCAACCCAACCCAGTTGTATCCAAACCCAAATTATGTTGAACGGAGAAGCCCTACCCATTACTAACAAACAACCCAACGGCACAAGACCGAACGACACAGAACCGTCTTGTCGTCTTCTTCCTCCTCCACCTTCTCGGTTAGTACGATGAATGTGTAAGCCGTCTTTTTACTGCCAGACCCATATTTGCAATTCCAGAGTGATGGGTGTTGGTGGTAAATTCTGGGACTTGCTTAAACCCTACGCCCGGCATGAGGGTTTTGATTTCTTGAGGAACAAGCGGGTTGCCGTCGACCTCTCCTTCTGGCTCGTACAGCATGAAACCGCTATCAAGGACCGTGCACGAAGCCCCCACCTCAGGCTCACCTTCTTCCGTACCATCAATCTCTTCTCCAAGGTTCAGTTTTCTCTTTTTTTTTTTGTGTTTTCTGCTTGTTTTCCGAGAAAATGTGAGAAATTCAAAGAGAAAAAAAAAGTTGGGTTTGTGGCTTTTCCGTTATACACATTTTGGGTTTTGGGAATATGAAAGTTGATTCAAGTTGTTTGACAGTGTGAGCTTATTTTAAATTTACTTATATAAACTTCAATGTATAAAGTATGGGGAAAAAAACGGAAATTTGATTGAGTTTTTGTGTTTTAAATAAAAAAATTACCTTAACTTGGCCAACTATTTCTTAAGCTCTCTAATTTTTGGTGTTTTATGTAATGCTGTTTTATTTGCTTGACTGAGATAAAGTTACAGCCCTTGAATTGAGAGTGAGCTTAACTATTGGTCAGTGTTTATGCAGTTTGGAGCATTTCCTGTCTTTGTAGTTGATGGAAGTCCGTCACCTCTAAAGTCAGAGGCGAGGATTGCAAGATTCTTTCGTTCTTCTGGTATTGATTCATCAAGTTTGCCTGTGGCTGGCGATGGTGCTTCAGTTGAGAGAAACAGCACATTTACAAAGTATATTCAAGAATGTGTGGTGAGTTGTTTCTGAGGTTATGGTTTGTGATCAGTTTAATAACTGCATTTTGTGTTTGTGCATTGACAAGTAATGTTTTCGAACTTTGGTGCAAACTCTTCTTTCGGTTGCTTTGAAAGTTCTTTTTTATGTCAAGAAAAAGTTTCCATATTTCCCACAAAATTTGTAAGTTCATTCCACTTGAACCCTTATCATCCAAGATTCAAGATTTTAATTCTTCAGCTTTTCAAATTGTGGTGGTGATTATATGGAGTAGTCTTACCTTTGACATATTTTCCGCACTTGTTGGCTAACCCTATACGAATGAGATTGTAGTGAATTGCAGTCCTTTTATTTGCTCATGATTTAGTAGCAGACTGAGTGTTCATGCTTATCCATATGCTTTCATTATTTTCCTTTACAACATGTACATCTGAATGAAAATTTGTGACCAGTTTTCTTTTTTTCCTGGTCTGGAAAGTCTATGATCAGTTTAATTCTGTTAGAATCTGTATTATATCTTTGTGAATAATAGATATTTTCTTTTGGTTTGTTGCCGATGCATTTGCATGCTTATCAGTTATTTACTAAAGGTGGTTTAATAGGAACTGCTTGAACTGCTTGGGATGCCTGTAGTAAAAGCAAAAGGAGAGGCTGAAGCACTGTGTGCCCAGTTAGACGCCGAAGGTCATGTAGATGCTTGCATCACATCTGACAGTGATGCATTCCTCTTCGGGGCTAAGTGTGTGATAAAAACCTTTCAATCCAATACCAGAGTAAGTAGTAATGTCTTAGTAAGTTTAACTGTGCCCCAGTTGGGCAATTGATTCTGCTCTTTCATATTAATTTTTTATTCTGCGAACTCATATCTCTTCTCTTTCCATTTCTGTTGCCACCATCTTTTTAGGCCACTCAGAGATTCCTATTCTGTGCAGGAACCATTTGAATATTACTATATGTCAGATATCGAAGCTGGTCTTGGTTTGAAGAGGAAACACTTGATTGCCATCTCTCTTTTGGTTGGAAATGACTATGATTTAAATGGGGTGCAAGGCGTTGGGCTTGATACAGCTCTTCGTTTTTCCCAAACTTTTAGTGAAGATGAGATATTGAATAGGTCAGATACTAAATGGATTCATTCATATATGGCGTTTTTTGGTTTTCTGTTACAAAAGTTATTTTAATTGAAATGTAATTTTTCTGCTCAAACTTTTTAATTAGTTAAGTTTGTATTATAAATTTCGCACAGGTTACGTGAAATTGGAAATGGTGATGCTTCTCTCTTGCAAGGTGAAATAAGATCTGTGGATGATAGTGTACCCAGTCCAGATGAGAGCTCATTAAAAAGAAAATTCTCTCATTGTTCCTTTTGTGGGCATCCTGGCAGCAAAAGAACTCATTTCAAGTCTTCCTGTGAATATTGTAGTACCACAATGGGTGAGGGTTGCGTGAAAAAATCAGAGGGTTTCAAATGCAGTTGCTCTTCTTGTGATATGGTACATTTATTTTCCCTTCTGATACCTATCCTTTATAGTGCATTTTTTTGCGTCAACATATCAGGCCCCATCATAAGTCGAATTCAAATAGTCTGTTACAATTTTTGGCAATGTGCTCCATATTGCGTCCTTAAGTATAAGCTTTTAATGGTAATGGCAGGATCGTAAAGAAAAGGAGCAGAAGAAGCAAGATAATTGGCGATTGAAAGTTCTCAGCAAGATTGCACTGGAGCCGAATTTTCCCAATGATGCGATTATTGAAATGTACTTGGGCAACAGCCATGGTTACTTCACTGGTATGTTTTAACGTTCTTCCTAAAACTGGGACAAATAGTATAAATTCTTTTTCAATAGCATGGACTGAATATGACTTTAGAAAATTATGTCTTCTTCAGAAAAGGAGCTTTTTTCTGGCATAAGTTGTTTTGTGAATGTATCTTGTCAATTTCAGTGCACTATAATGTTTTAGAATTCTATGCACAGAAAATGATGGACCCTGCATATCATGGGGAAGTCCAAAAACTGAAATGGTGGTTGATTTCTTGGCTTATCATCAGCTGTGGGAACCATCTTATATTCGCCGGAGGATGCTTCCAATGTTATCAACTATTTTTTTAAGGGAAAAGGCTAAAGATCCTGTAAAAAGTTTGTTATATGGGCAGTATGAGTTCGATTCCATAGACCGCTTGAAAATAAGATATGGGCATCAATTTTATGTGGTCAAGTGGAAAAAATCCGCACCTTCTTTGGGTTGTGTCAGTTGCACAGTCCCTCTGGAGGAGTCAGATGTGCAACAAGATGATGTTATGGAAGTTGATGAATCCATTGATCCATTCGATGAGTCTGATGTTCCTACGATTGATATCAACAATGGTTGTTGCTTTTTGTTGACTGATGAAAATACGGACCTTGTCCATGCTGCTTTTCCGGAGGAAGTTGACAGATTTTTGCAGGAGAAGGTGTAATTTCTTTCCCTTTTCATTTCTATGTGTTTTTTGTTTCTCTCTTATTTGTGGTTTCCTTTTCCATCTTGCGTACCTGTTGAAAATTAAGGAAAATCTTGTATGCTTTTGTGCTTAAATCTTGCAGGAACTGAAAGAATTGAAAAGAAGAAAAACTGGGAAGCCAGAAACAGCAGGATCAAGAGGCGTCCAGCTAAATATCACAGAATTCTACCGTTCGGCCAAAGTGTATGAGACAGAACCTGGAGAAATTCTAACCAAGAAGACAGAACCTGGAGAAATTCTAACCAAGAAGACAGAAGCTGGAGAAATTCTATCAAGTCAGAGAGCTGAAACTAGCAAAGAAAAGAGAAAACCATCAAGCTCAAATCTCCCCAAGTCTGTAAGACGCCGTCTTTTGTTTGACTAAGGCATTTTCAGATTTTGGGCCTCTTGCTGCTGTTTAGTAGGAAAATTAATTGAAGATGTAAAGTTATCGCCTCCTTCTACCCCTTACTGAGCTTAGCCTGATGTGTAATTTCTGTAATTAAATTTTAGATTTATATAGGGTAGGTGCTGAGCAAAAGTTGCAGGGTTTTGAATCTTCCTTGAGTGAGCAATGCAAGATTTCTAGTGCGTTTATTGTAACATTTTGTATAAAGGTAAATTTGTCATTTTGAGATTTTTTTTATTTTATGGCTTCAGCAATTTATGGACGGAATCTCAACGTAATGGGTTTTGTGAAAACAATTTGAAACTTCAAAGGGCGTTAGTGTAATTTTTGAAACCTCGTAGATTTTATGTAAACATATAAAACCTCAACAGTTATACAAATAACTCGAAGGTGGGGAGGGGGGTGTGTAACGGAAGTATTAAATAAAACACACATTTTACATGTGAAAGAATTTACAATCTTCTAAACATGGGAAATTCATTAGTGCCCTTGACCTTTTCATTCTATAATTGGCTGTCGTTCGTCAAGATAATTGTCATGCTATATATGCTTTTGACTCTCTTGTAGAAATTATTTGAAAAGCTATGGAGGCTCAAAGCTATTGCCAACTTATCTGATTTGTAACAATTGCTCTAATACTTTTCTGTCATCAAAAGCCAAATTGTAAGAATAAACACAACTCTTTCTTCTGGTAAGTTACAACACATTGAGCATTTCAAAACACTACAGAGATGATGGGTTATTTTTATCTTGTTATTTTTTTTTTTTTGAAGACTATAACCCCGGGGGTGACGCCATGAGTGACGAGAAGGCCATCTCAATTGAATCTGTGAACAGTTCTAGTCCAAGACTTGAAGCTGTCAGTGTTTTGGTTGTTGATGGTGATTCTGCATGTCTTGCAATACTATCAAGAATGCTCTGTAACTTGGGGTATAAGGGTAAACATTTTTATCTTTTTATTTTTGTTGAATTATTTGTTTTCTTTATGGAGTCTTAATTGTTTTTCTTTTCCTGCAACCGCAGTCAAAACCCATTTCATTTTTATATTAACATGTAATTAATTAACCATGTAATTCTAATTTTCTTCAGGATTATTATGCTTACCTTGTTTGCCAAGGAAGTTTTAACCATTTGCCACATATGCTATGAGTCTATGACTTCCAAAATTTATTTTTCTCTCCAACTGTTTGCTTTATTTTTTGCAAATACAGTTTTTTTTCTAACAGTTTCCTGCTTTACTCTTGCTAGCAGTTATGACAGCCAAAAGAGCCTATGATGCACTATCCATAGCTCAGAAGAAGGAAGATGAGCTTCATCTTGTGCTGACAGAGGCTCACTTGCCTGACATGGATAAATATGAGCTCTTAGAGAAAATGAAGGCAGTTTCCAAAGTACCAGTTGTTAGTAAGTTCTCAGTTTCAAAAACCCCATTCATGTTATTAGTTTGTACTCACCAGAAAACATTTTATTCATGGAGTTAGGCCTCTCTGATAGCATATGCTGCTGACTTGGTTTTTATTTATTTATTTATGCAGTTATGTCTGATGATGACGATGAGAATGCTATGTTGGGTGGGCTGTTTAAAGGAGCTGTATTTTATTTTGTTAAACCACTCACAATCAACAGCCTAAAAAACCTATGGCAGTTTGCATTCATCAAGAACATAAATCATGTGGTGATAGATCTCACTGAAGAGGAAAGTAGTGTTTATGGTGAAACCCAGCAGGAGAATACATCAAATGAGGGCTTGGAGAGTGACTCATTCATGACAAGAGACCGATGGTTGAAAAGAGAAAACCCTGAAGGGACATACAAAGATGAGGATAAAGAGAATTCTGATTCAACTTCCCAAAGGAAGTCAAAGATAGTTTGGACCAATGAGCTACATAAGAGATTCTTGCTAGCTGTCAGATTGCTAGGAGTTGATAGTAAGAGCCCTCTTGATATTGGTTCTGTGATGAATTTTTTACTTTACTTGGAGCTATTGAAACTAAGATAGCTAATTTATTTCTTGACTTAGGTGCTCATCCAAAGAAAATACTTCAGCAGATGAATGTCCCTGGACTCAGGAAAGAAAATGTTTCAAGCCATTTACAGGTTTGCTTCTTTGTTGTATAGGATTCAGTACCTTTAATGCAGGATTTTCAACTTTATATAAGGATAAACAACTTTTTTGGTCAGTGATTTCTGCAACATTCTTGGTTATCCATTTTTCTTTTTTGAGAGAGAAACATCAACACATTCTTGGCTCTGCACTCCTTTATAAATGTTATTTTTGCAGAAATATCGCCTCTCGTTGAAGCGGGAACAAGAAGCAATCATGAAGGTCAGGGCCAGAGGTCCCAAAAAATCAAAGTACCCGTCACACCAATCTTTATCAACATTAAATTTTCGAGGAGGCTGTTCTCATACCCTGTACCAGTACTCGACCTCAACAGCATATCAACCAAAACGCAGAAGCCATGTTCAGGACCTCAGTAGTCACATGTCTAGACCTTCCCCTGCAGGTTCTGTACGTTTTCCAAGTCAAGTTTACTCAAGTGGACATCCAACTCTAGGCAATGAGTTAAGTTTTCCATCAATACCATACCATTCAACTTACAAAAATGGGCAACCAACTCTAAACAACCAGCTAGATTATACTAATTATCATACTACTAATCACATTGGAAATAGGATCAACAAGGAATTGGCTGGCTTTAGACAGGTGGGGAGCTTTGTCAGAAACAGTAATTTTGATGGGAACAAGAACTTCTCTACTTTTGGTGATCATGATCATTCAAATTTAGTAATTTTCCCAATATTCCTGCATAATTCTACACAACAAGAAGAGCAACAGCAGCAGCAACTTCAACCACAGGTTCTGTTCTCATCACCATTGCAAATGCCTTCTCCGCCGCCACAGCCACAGGAGCAACAAGAAAATGACATTCTTGGGCAGGAAAGGCAACTTCAACCACAGTTTCTACCATCACCACCATTGCAAATGCCTTCACCATCACCTCTGCCAGCAGCAGCAGAGCAGCAAGGAGAACAAGATGACATTTTTGGGCTTGAAAAACAACTTATGCAGTCCCCACAATGGCATATGCCTTCAATGCCTTCAATGCCAGCAGCACCAACAGCACATGAGCAAGAGAAAGATGACATGTTTGGGATTGAAAGTGAAGAAACCGATGACTTATTTGACATTGCAAAAGGCACCACTCAACATATCAATGATGCTGATTTTGTTGATTTATGGTGAGTGGTGATCAAGCGTCTGACTTGTGTTTATGCTCTTGTAAAGTAAGCTTCAATTAAAGGTGTACATCTCCATACATTATTAGATAGAGACTATACGGTATACTCGCTTGTAAGCTCTTTCTCTCATCTCAATGATAAAGGAAGAGGATAAACAAGGAATATATATGAGAAATGTAAGTGGACAAGTTAGTCTTGAAGTAATATACAGCTTTAGTTTTTTGATTTATTATCATGATTAACTTACATTATTATATCTTTGTTTTTTTAATATAAAAAATTAGCGAGAATCGAACCATAAACTTATCCTAATCCTAACCCATTACTCCACCCTCTCTCACCACTTGAGCTAAACCCTTTATGTCTTTTAATTGTGAGTGTATTCGAACTTACTAAATAAATTTTCTATGCTATATATGCTTGTCAGTAATTAAATTGTCCTATATGTTACTACTCCTGACCCAAAAAAATAATTATTATTTGCATTTAAAATTGATTCGTTATTTGAGTATCATCAGAATATTTTTTAATTTTATTTATTATAAATTCGTCTATTTACTCGATTATAATTTAATGTCTATTTGATCGTTGGTTTAATTAATTTTTAAAAGGATAATCTTCAACGAGGGCACTAAATAATTGTAAGGAGCGACTGAAAAAAATACTGTGGGCCATGTTTATGCATTTTCTATAAATATTGATCAATTAAAAAGAAATTCAGGTCATTGAAGAAGTTTTATTCATGGTTGTCATATTATTATTGGGATGACTCTCTTTTACAGTTTGGGTCCTTTGTACTCTTTATTCTTATTGATCTAATAAATTGTTATCGCATTTTTATCAAAATACAAATTAAAATTTTAATTTGTCAAAGAAAAATGGGTTTACCGCATCCACACCAAAAAAAAGGCCGTGCAAATTTTTTGAAATGAGGGGGGAAAACAATATCAAACCCAATTTGTTGCCTGGGGATTGGAATCAAGGACAATATTTAGAATCATCTGGGCTATAAATCGGTATATGTAACTTACCCAAAACAAAATCGGTAAATGTTAAAATATAGGGAGTTTCACTAAAACACCAAAAATGGAGGTTGAAATTATAAAAAAACCCAACACCCAAAATACTTTATAAACACACCCAAAAAGTTGACTTTGGAGTTGATTTTGGGTGTGTTTCTATGTTTAAATAGTGCTTGGGTTTTTTTTATAAATACATGTCTAGGATTGAGTTTATTTATAAATTTGTATAAAATATATTCTAAAATAGGCAACTAAAAAAAAAAAGGGAAATTATTGGACTGGTCACCAATTTTTATTGGGTAGATTACTTGAGGACCAATTAAGATTTTCTCTCTCCGTGTTACATTTTCACTCATACTTTCCTAATCACATATGTCAATCTGATTTCCTTTGGTTACAGAGATTTATTTGGTTTCCTCAAACCGTTTGTATTGGAATTAAAACTTGGTTCATTCCATTATTTAGGGTTGGCATTAACTTGAAGCCCAAACCTTCTATTTCCAACTCACACTAGGATTAAGCAACTATATAACATTAACCCTTTTCACTTGTGTCTCTAAATTTGTTAACGGGTTAGCGCTTTCTTCATCGATAACATTGATGAGAAAGATTAGAGAAGAGAAGATGAGTTTGGTGAGTAAGGTAGGTTTTGTTGATGGCTTGTCCCCTCTCGAGATTTTGTCGGAGACGGTTTGTAGTATATTCAAGGTGCATCAAGAGAAACAAGAGCATTCTTTAGAATCTCCAAAGAAAGGAAGCTCCTCGTACTTCAATTTCTTGAATGATACGTCTAGCCCTAGCAATACTACTCCTGTAAGTATTAATTTCTCTGATTTGCTTTCACATTCGTTCTTCTCTTTAGTATTTTTTCTAAGCTATGCAATTATTTCTTCACATTTAATTTAATTTATTTAATTTGTCTCAGAAAAAAGGCAACG